TATGTGTATATATGTATATATACCCCACTCAATTGCATCATTAGGAGAAGCTGATGATGTTTATGCCTATGTAGACTACACAAAAGCTGATACAAAGACACTCCTAGCACTGCAGCAGAAACCTATTCTAGACCAGCATCAAGACAAACACCTGATTGTCCACCCCTACCTTACAATGGTATAATCATTGTTGGGTGGCTTTGGACAGGGGTGGCTTTAATCCTACATTCAAACTGACACGACATAGGTTTCTACGTCTATCACTCTCTGCGCGTCTTATGTTTTCCCCGAGCGGGAAGGCAACGTCAATCCGGGAACTCATACTCACATTGCACATATTCCTCCGCCAGTAGTAAATACAATTAAATAAATTGTTTAGCTTGCGCAAAATTTATATAGACGTGCCATATCACTATACTATATATATTTGCAAATACTCCACAAACCTCCAAACACACTGCGAACCCCATCCAAATTCCCTTTGTAGAACTCTCTTTTTCTTGAAAAAAAAAATCCATTGTTTTGGGGGTTTACAAATACAAACATAATATTTTATCACTGCATGTGTGTTAAGTCTTAAAATCCAACGCATCTCATGACACTATCTTTGGTGGATATATATCTATGGCCTATGATGATAAATTTCATGTTATTGATAGTGTGGTCTGGCAAGTTGAAATGTTGACTGACGGTAGAAGTCCCATTCTTATTCCGTATGAAATTTTATGGTTCTTAATTCTCTAAATGTAATGGCGCACCCTCCAATTCGAGACACATCTAATTCGAGACCACTTTCCCAAAGAAACAAATTAAAATCTTCCATCTATTAAAACCAAGCTAACCCTCTATATGGAGACCAAACCATGAGAGCACCTCAAAGGTGGTCTGGAATTGGAGGGTAAACTGTATATCATTAAGCCTTTATAATATGCCGTCTAGTACTTTGGACTACTGTTTCTCAAATTGTACAGTACGGTATATTACCATTTAACCATTGGCGGATCTGGAGGTCGGGGGTCCTGACCCCCCCCCCCCCTTTGGAAAAAAAATTCTCTGTGTACCGGTACACACATAGGCTTATTTACTGTAATAAGAATGAGAAAAAATTACCTGACCGTTTACAAAAGGGGAAAATCTTGAATTTTGATTAAAAGACACTTCTAATCGGGAAAAATAATTTCTCGCCATCTAAGAATCAAAATTTCCCTGGGGAGGACCCCCGACCCCCGTTTTATTTGGGGTTCATCGATTTATTGAAAAAAGAATGTGTATGCAGCGACTCAATTTTTGTTATGTACTGTACATACACACATACTAGGGTTATTTACAGTAATAAGAATGAAAAGTTTACCTGACCGTTTTCAAGCGGAGGAAAACCTTAAAATTTAAAGAACCTAAAAGACATCTCAGAAGTCGGAAAAGCTCATTTCCTGCAATCTAGTGATCAACATTTTCCCGGACCCCGATTCGTCTTTTTTTTTTTTGTATGTATACACACATAAATAGGCCTATTTACTGTAATAAGAATGAGAAAGTTTACCGTTTTTAAGAGGGGGAAACCTTGAATTTTGAAGCAGCTCATTTACCCGGACCCCATCTTTTGGGGCGTTTTTATGAAAAAAAAGTCTGACTCCCCATAAATGGGAACCTAGATCCGCCCCTGATTGAACTCTCATGTTTATATTTTATGTCAAGCGTTGACAACGACTACAGGAGTAGCCGAAATATTCGCATCAGTAAATGTTAGTGTTTCAGAGTCAACATCTTACGTATTTGATTTTCATTACTGTTACGCTATATTATTATTATTATTATTATTAAATTGTTCACGTCGTTTTGTCAAAGATGAATGTCCCCATTCATGGTCGGAGTACGAAGACAGATGCTACATGGTGATACTTGAAGCAATGACATGGGATAATGGTCAGGTACATTGTGAATCTATGCAAGCTCATCTAGTGACCATTACGTCGGTTGATGAAGAAGAATTTGTTCGTGACTTATTTTCAGGATGCATTTTCTCATTCTGGATTGGTTACAATGACAAAATCATGGAAGGCAATTGGGAATGGGTCACTGGTGAACCTAAAGTATTTGAAGGTAGGCCTATTTATTTACGTATTGATGAATTTTATTTTTACTCATCTTTAACTTTTGATTCTATATGCCTGCTTTAAAAACAAAAAACAAAACAAAAAACAAGTGCAATTTTCTTCATTAAGCTTGTACTGTGTATGAAAAACGTCGAAAGGCCTGTATTTCAACTGTGAATTGAAAATCACCATTTTATACCAACGACTATAGAAGTGCATCGTCCAAATTGTAAGGCCACAGTCTGAGTCTACCTTCATTTACAGCACTTATCTTATTACATTTATCAGAATAATTAGGAATACATTATTTTCTGTCTCTGTTCATGTTGTTCTTTTTAATTATTAGGCCTATAATATGGTTGAAAAGTGGAGGGGATGAAATGCAAAATAAGAAAGGCTTGGTTTTAAGGAATGCAATTAACATTTTATTTCAACACTACATTTTCAAAATACAGTGGCGGATCCAGAAATTTGAAATATAGCTGGGCCCAGCAGTGGTGTATCTAGGGGTATCCAGTCGCCTCTAAGTAGTTATTTTGCGAATTAGCGCCCCTCAACTGATCATCATCAGCACCCCTATTTCAAGACTTCTACAGATGGAGAGTGTAGACCACCTCAGCCCCATCATAGTTGGGGCTGAGGTAAGAAAATTAATGATTAGGCCAAAAAAAAAAAATAAACTGTCTCTTTGCCTTCGTATCAGGCGTATCAGTGGCGACTCCAGGAGAGGAAAGTAGATCACCTCAGCTCCACGATGGTTGGAGCTGAGGTAAGGAAACTAGATGGCCGGAAACGGCACTCTTAGACCTAAATTTTAATTGTTTTCCTTTTTTTAAATTTGTTTTTTCAAATTGGTGGGGGGGGGGGGGGGGGGGGGGGAGTGGGTCGGCTCGGCCTCAATTGAATCCGCCACTGAATATTATGACGTCATTGCAAGATTGTGTCAAAGTCTGGAGTTTGTAAACTTGTGGTATCACTACTCAAATAACTCGAAATAGAGACCTGTGCTTGTCAAAGGATGTATAATTATTGTTTAATAACGGCTATATGAAATTCAATTGACTATTACTCTAATTTTCTGAAATTAGGAAAAACAGTAATCTATATAATCCTATAATATTAAACACTAGTATAATATACTACGGGTCATAATAATATACAAAAGAAATAAATTGTTTACAGTAGAAATTGTGCACTAACACGCTTCCAATTTTAACAAGGTACAGTACAATTTTTTTCAGAATAAATTTAGCCCCTGATAACCGTTGCACCGGTTATTGAGATGGTTACGAAATGTACAAACAATTGCGTTTTTACGCCGGAAATATGCACCGCATTTGGAAAAGTCAACAGAGAAAATACATGACAATCATGCGTAATTGTTATTCTTCCATTCGCTTTAAAAATTGGGATTTTAATTATAGAAGATGAGGGAAAATTGATATGATGTCCCCTCTAATTTGAAAAGTGGGAGGGACATGTCCCCTACCGATCGATGCCCATGAACACAAGAATAATATATTAATTTCTTTTACTGCCAGATTCCATCTTGTTTATATGTGTATAGATGTCTCCTGGTATTTTTTTTCTTTGTTTCGATTTGGTTGAATCAACCTATTTGCATAACACTGAGTATGTTTCAATCTTAACGACGGACAAGCTAGGCAGAATAAGAACTGACAAGACATACTTACGTTTTTAAATAATTGTACCTATTTTATTATTACCTTTTACAGAGTACACTTATGTTACCTTTCATATATAACTTTGATAATGAGGTGATCACCATGATGACGATGTTATGTACGATGCAACCAATTACTATCATGCATAATGCATATTATTTTAACGAAAATGATGATTTTTCTACTTTTTCTTTTAACTGCGGCTGTAGTATGTACTTGTTCATAGAAATTGAAAAGATAAAAAAGGTGGTGGAGAGGCGTTATTTTTATCAGATAAATTTTGTTAGCCAAATTGAGGCCGAATCTGTATTTGTCAAAATTTAAACGGAAAAAACTGTGTTATTTGTGGGATAATAATACTGAGCCACCTGAACAAAATATCGCAAAACATTATGACTGGAATCCTCTTCTCAGATCTATGAGACCACTACCCCATATTCACAATTGATAAATTAGAAAAGCAAAGGAAAATTAATAAACATAATTATATCATTAAACGCATGTGTTACTCCTTGCAACAAATCTTTTAGGCATGAATTAGTGAACCAACAGTTGTTAGGTGTCATGGACGCTATTAATGCAAACCAGGCATACATACAATTTGTGAAAATCCGCGTAAGAGCTGACAATAGTATAACACCGTGGATTACAGAAGCATTATCAAAATCAATCACCACAAAAACAGACTACACAGTTTATATAAAAGAAACAATACATCGTCAAATAAATCTAAAGTACATGAAATAGTATACACTCATTAGTATACGAAGAGAAGATCACTATTCTAATCAATTCGAAAAATACAAAAATGATACAAAAAATACATGGGAAATTATAAACACTATACTACCAAAAAATGAATGCTATGATCATAAGGAGCATGTAAAAAAAAAAAATTTGTGCTTTTGTCCGGAACGTCCACATCCATCTGCTAAGCTGCCGGACTATTATGAAACCACACAGGCAAAATCTCTTAAAGTTAAAAATCAGACGCTTTTAATAGATATTTCACAAGTACTGTTGAAACACTACACAAGAACCAGTAAAATTTTGCCAAGGCTCAGTGTCCTTATTTTTCAGACTCAAAATGTTCTTATTTTGTTCTTATTTTTACATAGGCCTACTGGTACTTTTCAAATATAGATGAAATGGCCCCGGTAAAAATGGCCCCTGAAAAAATGCCCTAGAAAAAAGGCCCTGATAAAAATGACCCTGAACGACATGTAGGTACTACTGTATAGAGGGTATTACATAGTCACACCGGTGCAGGTGTACAGATATGGTTTTTGGGTTTTTTTTTTAGTTTTCTGAAATAAAAATATCATTTGACATTTTACCTCGGCCTCAATTTGTTCTTATTTTGTTCTTAATTTTTAAGCAATTTCAGCCTCAGTGTTAAAAATTTAAATTTAAAAAAAAAGTGTAGCAAATAAAATCCGAATGATCCTCAGACCAGACCCAATAATTAACTGGAAACTATGTCAACTCCATGTTTTTTAGACCTGTTGCACACTTAATGCATCACTTACTACTGATTCTTTCCATAAGGATTCACAAGAACAATACCCACATTCGAAAATGGTGACAGACAAGAAATCAGTAAATTATCGACCGATGTCTATACTGCCATGTCTTTCAAATATTTATGGAGGGTTGTCTCTGAACAAACGCTTTCCTTCCTTGAAAAGCATAACATACTCAATGATTAATAATTATGACAAACTTTTTAAAAATTAGAATATAAATTAGCCAAATCGAAGTATATAAAAATCCTTTATAAATTAATATACATACATTATACGTAGTACTTTAAATATCAATTATGTCTGATTATCTGCATTTTGTTTCTCTTTCGATCAAAAAGAGATGTATTTTTTATTTGTTCAAGAGACACACCTTACTAAAAAAAGAATAAGTCCATATGATTTTGTCTGGAAAGGATTATTTTCATAGTTTCGCTACCTCGTTCAGTCGGGGAGTTTCAATTCTATTTAAAACCAAATTTGAATATAAATTGATTGATAAACTTAATGACGAGAACGAAGATACATCTGCTTAAAAGCATCGATACAAGGTATTAATTGTATTTTTGTTCATGTTTTTTTTATGCACCAAATTTTACTAAAACAAGATGCTCTTTTTTTTTTTCTTTTTTTTTTTATTATCTGACACCGAAAATGATAGAATAATTCCAGATGAAGACATGAACTGTATTTTACATATGAACCTGGACCAGAAAGATAGTGTATAGATAAAATTGACACATCTGCTTATACAGTTAAACGATTTATTGGTTTGATATATATCGAGAGCTTAATCCAAAAATGCAATTTACTTGGCGAGAATAGCAAACCAAATTTATAGGCGATTAGACTTTTGTCTTATTTCCAATAAAATGGCTGATAGCCATGTAGAGTCATGTTATATACGGCCAGATCACCAGGCCATTTCATTTAAATTAGGCATAAAAACAGAAAAAAGAGGCCTTGGATTATGGAAATTTAATAAATAAGAGATCATAAATGTACTATAATAGCATTAATTGTTTTTGCAACAAATTAATTTACATAAATCTAAATTTAATTGAATTTATAGAGACAGTATCCCCTGTTAAGGGAACAATTTCAAATATACGGTTAATGTCCAAAGTTGTGCCGTGCACAGTCTTTTCTATTGTATTTAGAGGTTCATAATTTATTCTTTTAAAGATTGGATAGGTGGTGAACCGAGCAATCAAGAGGAGGACTGTGCATTTTTATTTGCTTACTGCACCTTTTCTGGTATGGCTGATCATTGGGACGATCAGCAATGTGATAGACCTATGGCAACAGTATGTGAAAAAGGTATATTTTAATGTGCTAAATTTGTCATATGTATGTATTCTGTTAATTGTACGGCGATTCTGTTACATACTATATTCAAAGAAACTCCCCAGAGCTTTAATGTTAAATGGAGAGAATTTATTCAAAGAAGGCCTTCTTTTGGTGTACGGCACCTATACTCAAATGCGTGCTCCTTCATTCACAAACATAAATTTATTGTCAAACGATTATTTATTTATATTTATTGTATAAACTTGATAGGTTACAGATATAGAGTAAATGATTGGAGACAGAATGGTGCTGATAATTATTGATGCCACCACAAAACACATTTTGTTTTGTTAGGGGAGGATATTTTAAAGTAGAGCATTAATTCAAATGATTTCAATGATTTTTAATGTTATCATGATTATTATTACTAATTATTACTATTACGTTGTAGTATGAATTATTTATTATTAAAAATACAGTATCTTTTTGAATAATGAGTTGCTTTAATCGGATTTGAATTTCCAACAAAGCCTCAATTCCCAGTTGGTTAAGGTGTCTGCATAAGCAGCAGAAGGTCCTGGGTTCGAATCCCGGTTGAGGAAGCTTTTTTTTCACACTGGCAGATACTTCTTCTTTTATATATATATAATATATAATAATAATATATAAATATATATATACAAAATGGTTGAACGGGTTGCAAATACTATCAGCAGAGTGCTCGATGGTAATGAAACCAGAGCGAATTAAAGACAAAAAATGAGTGGTTCAACAGTAGCTTTGATTAGACATATTTATTAATATTTATTTTCGTGCTACACATACATGGTGCAGCACTCTTCAGATAAAATAGTCTAATTAGACTATTTTATCTGAAGAGTGCTGCACCATGTATGTGTAGCACGAAACTAAATAGTAATAAATA